GGCATGATCCTGGAGGTTGACCTGGAAAAGTCACATCACAGACAAAACGAAGCAAGTAAAGAACAAACTCAAAAAATTCTATTGGCTTACTAGCCGATCCTTCAAACTAGGCACACAGAATAAAATTACCTTCTATAAGACCGTAATAAAACCTGTCTGGACCTGCGGAATCCAACTATGGGGATCAAGAAATAATTCCAACATTGAAATACTTCAACGCTTCCAATGGAAAACGCTAAGATCCATTATAAATGCACCCTGGTATTGTTGAGAAAAGTTAGGTTGGTATGATCGCTAGTTACTACAAGCTAAGTTGGTACGACTTCTAGCGACGCTCTTTTGTCTTAGAAGTCGACCACGTGTTAATTGACCAAGTGTATCCTGTGAGTTAAGACGTGTTGTACGAGGCGGAGAAATATATAGAGAAAATCGAATCTGTGTGAATCGATTAATTATCAACCCCAAACCTACATCAATTAACAGGTATGTCACCAACGAACTAATACATGACGATCTCAAGATACCAATAGTCAAAGAGGAAATAGAAAAATATAGCGACAGATATAGCAAAAGAGTCAACAAACACCGAAACCCCTAATCACTAGACTACTTGATACGTCGGATCAGATCCGCAGGCTGAAGAGACACTACCCGCTAGACCTAAACGCTAGATTCAATTAGTTATTTAAATTAAGTAATATTTACTTATTTATAATACTTACTTATAAATTATACTTATCTATAATAAGTATTAACTTATTATAAATAATTAGCCATGTCACTGCGCCACGCCAGAAAAAATTACTGAAAATTCTCAATGCGAGAATCGATTGTAAATTTTAATAAATAAAAAAAGAAAAAGAAAGAAAGAAATTCAAGTGTCCTTCGACATTTGTGCGTGTTTGATGAATGGGTATATGGATGTCGCTGGCGTGCTGTATGTAACATAGCGTTGATACGCTTCTTATTCTCTTCCCTTATTTATGGTTTTCCATTATTCTATTCGGTTAGGCATGCATATTCTCGGAAGTCGGCCCTTGTGCGTGTTTGTAACGAATAGTTAATGTAATCGACGTGCGCGTTTCCAAGCTTTAACAATGATTTTCATAACTAATATCAGATAGTAAAAATAATATTGAAAAGGAAATAGAAAAAAATTGTAATCAAAATATTCCCAAAGTTACAATAGAAAAAAATGTTCTCTTATATTTTTCAACAAAAGTTAAATCTAATACAAGATTTCATTTAAAATTAATAAAATTTCAAATTAGCATCAAAATGAAAAAATTAATTCAGAGATCAAACATTAAAATAACAATTTTTTAAACTAATTATCTTTATTTACTTATACTTACTAGCTTTAATACTACCATGAGAAGCTTTTAATAGAGATCAAAAAATTCAATATGAAATACAAATTTTAAATATAAGTTAATGTCTTCTTTTAATTTCTTCTTTGTTAAATTTTGTATTATTAATTTTTTATTAATGTATTAACCCTTTGCACTCCTATGTCGAGTGTGACTCAACATCAGTTTTTATTTCAGGAGCTACTTTGTTGAGTCCCACTCGACATTCTTTCAGTTCCAACTTTTTTTTGTGAAATGTGTGAAAGAAAACAAGGATTGCATCCTGGGAATTGTTTCAAGATATATCATACACCTAAAAATTACAAAATACAACAATAGTGTGAACAAAACTGGTATTTAAGTGAATTTGTTTCTTCCTTTATTTATTTAAATTGCCTTATTTTTTAGTTATAGTAAATTTCAAATAAAACACTTAAAAGCGTTAGGAGCTGCTGATAACAAAATTGAAATAAAATTTGGAGTGCAAAGGGTTAAACATATTTTCTAATATAATAAAGATATCATGCCTTTATTCTTAAAAAAAGTCGTATCATAACTTTCTTGTAACTAGTGTTACAGTAATACAATGATATTATTAATAAGATCTTAATGTAAAAAAAATTATGTAATACTATCATATTGTAGAGTAAAATACCTAAGATAAAAGATACAAAATAAATATTTAATATTATACAACACTTCTCACTTCATCTAAGTAATTATGATACACAAGAAAACAATAAATATAACTAGTTAATATAAATACGGTATAAATTCGTTTTACATGTATTGTATTCACTATTGCATATTCTAACTCACTGCATTATAATTTTTTTATCGTGTCAGTATTTTTTAATTTCGCAGGAAATCTATGGTGAAGTACATACATACATATGTATATATATATATATATATATATATATATTACATAGAATATTAACTAGGTTATGTTTAGATCACCACATGGTTTATACCTAAAATAGGCTGTGGTTAGTTGTGCTAAATGATTTCATATTATTTAAATCTACATAACAAAATCCGACACAATCATGTCCTACAATTCTTCTACTGAAACAAATTGTGCTTGTAGTAAAGATATTAAAAAAGATGAGGAATCTAATTTTGATTTGGTTTTAAAAGAAAAGTGGATGGAAGCCCAGAAAAATGGAGTGTTTCGTTATATATTAAACATTCAAGATTCGAAAATATTGGAAGGCAAATATTACTTTTTAGTCCAGGTAATGTTATTAAATAATTAATTATAATAAATATTTGTTTAATTTATTTTCAAATATTTTTTAATTGTTACAATTTTGTAATAGTAATTTACAGGATAAAATATTTTACATGTTTTTATTGTTCACTTGTCATATGTGTAAATGTATACTTTAATTTTACCATCTCTTGCATAAATATTCATGATAATTTTCTAGTTCAAATTTTAATAATTACAAATATGTTTTGCGTATTAATGTCATTAATACAAAAGTACATGTAAATCTTGTTACATATGCTTATCTCTTTGTTTTAATACTCTCAAGTACAGTTTGTAGATAACTTATAAAATAAAAATAAGCAAATAAAACAAAAATATTTACAAAATCAGTGATAATTTACAAAAATAAAAATGAAATAAATATTATGTAACTGTAATTATATCTAATAATATAATATAGATAATATTGTTTATTCTAGGAATATTTATAAGAGTAAAATTATATAAATTAATTTCATAGTGCAAAATCATATATAAAATAACAGTTAAAGAAGTAGCAATAAATATATATTTGTTATTATATTGCCAATACAATATCAGGATTGTTTATTTATTAATCAATGTATTATACTTTTAGGAATATATATCTATTGATGAACTAAAATTATTTAATGTTTTATGATTTATAATTATGAGAATCATAATGTCTCTCGCCTCTATTGTATTTCAAAGAACTTATAATCCTTTAACACATTGGCATCAGAGCATTTAGAAACTAATATATATATCATTTAGATTCTAGCAAAGGAATTCAAATGACATAAATGTGAGTCACGGTGCTAATGTGTTAAGTTACTCTAGTATGACTTAGTTAATATAACTGTAACACAATGAAAGGAAAAAAATAATTCTATTGATTCATATATATGTAAATTCATCAACAAATAACATGGGAACTGCAAGACATTTGTATTACTGATTTAGTTAAAATTCTGCATATGGGAAGATCCTCACTCTGCAAAAGTATTCCATTATAAGAGCAAAGGTCAAATATACAAGATATATACAATATATATAATCAAAGATATATACAATCATAAATATAACATTGTCTTTTTCTGCATAGTAAATAAATTTGCAATACTGTAGTATTCAGTACTTTAATGCCCATAGGGTGCATTGTTAGAAAATTTAATATTTGAAAAAAATCATATTGCACGTCATGGTACATTCATTGGAGTATACAATTGCTGATTAACCAGTTAGCTGTTGCGCCTTCTTTGAAAACTTTGAAAATTGTATACCTAAAATGTGTCACAAAAAGTAAGCGATGAAGTATAATGGCCAAATACAGAGTATGTGTGGCTGTTATAATATAGAATTAAGTTATAATGAAATGACTGTTTTATTTTTTAATTTTATTGCTGACATGAATTGTTATAACATGAAATATTGCCTTTTTTTGACATGATGAGTATATCCGTCATAAATAGCTAACTGGTTAAACATGCATCGCTGCTATAAATGTCGCCTATTATTGAATTGTTGTGACTAGCATCTCGTTAACATCTTTTTGCAAAAAAGATTAACATGTGTGCATTGCCAGAGTGTTAGTTGGCAAAATGAGTTGGTATTGATTTAGACAATAATGTGGTTACCTATGGCATGCCGAACCTACACAGTTTTGTATATCTTCTCAGCATCGGACATTTATGGTGGTTGAGACTTTGTTAGAAGACTTCTGTACTCATAAGCTTGTACCTGTACCTGTACCTGTATCTGTTTGCCAATAATATATTTTATCTCCCAATGGGATGTTGCACCTTCATTTGTATATTTAGTCATTAACCAGATCTTGGAATACTTGTGCCTTGTGAATATGACTTCCAGTAATTTAATCCATAAAAATTGTGGTTAAAAATTTGCAAAATATTTAAACATCATAAGGAATTGAAAATTAGTAAAATGGCAGCTTTTATCTAAAGCTACTTTTATCTAAAAGGTATAGCGAGTAAACGGGGTCAAAAGAGTCCTCCAACCAAATTTATGTAATGATGTGCCATATGATAGTACCAGAAAAACATCTCATATCAAATTTCAACTTTTTTCTCATCTAAAAAATAATTGATCTTATATTGAGCTCGAATTCACTCAACTACTTTGTAAGTCACATTATTGAACGATACTTCAAATTAACACAAATTCTAAAATTTCATACTATATTTATTATATATAGAAGGTATTAAAATATCCAAAACATAAAAGCTACTTTTTTGCGTGAAATTTTCGAGGAAATCGATTTTTGACACATTCACCACTGGAATATCTTATTAAAAAGCCTAAAAATCTATAAATTTATAAATTCTATAGTTCTATATATATTAGGTTATTCGAAAAGTTTCTTTCGTTTCATAAGGTCATAATACATGAACAACAATTTCTGTTTTATATTATTTTATTGAATTAGGTATGACACATTCCATTATATTTCTATTATTATGTTCGTGCATAATTCAATAAAATAATATAAAACAAAAAACATTGTGCATCTATTATTGCCTTATAAAACGAATGAAACTTTTCGGACAACCTAATATATATATGTAACTGTATGAATAGAATAGATCACGAGAGAAGAAATGTAATTTAGGACTTAGAAAATCGATTTTCCAGGTAAAATTTGTAGTGGATTTGTTATTAACTGTTCTTGTACTGAATTTAATTATTCTCAAAATAAACTGGATTTTCCAGAATCGATCGTCCGATTTATTCTAAGCATTTACATTGTTACATATATATATAATCTGTAATTCTATAAATTTGTCATCTTTTACGAAAAGAAAATTGTCAAAAAGTAATGTTTGTAATATGCCACAATTTTCTACAGAAATTTTTTGTATGACGTTTCTCTTTGTTAACCTATTGGATAGTTCATCACCAGAGAAATGCGGTTTGGGAATCTCCTTAACCATGTAAATAAACCTCTTTGAATTATAAATACAATGAAATTCATCTGTTATTTAGAGAGATATACATACTTCCAGAAACTGCTAAGCCAGTAAATTGTTTAAGGTGTTATATACAAGGTGTTAAAAAAATTAGACAATATTTTATGTAAATCTAGACATTAAATCCAAAAATCAAAAAACAGATTCACAAAAGAAAAAATACATTATAAGGAGAAGATGAAGATAAATAGTACTTTATATAAGATTAATTCTTATATGTACTGATATTTTCTATTCATTAGACACAGGCATTAAATGTTTAAAATATTTAATGATTCAAATTTTTATAAAGGTTTTATATGGACAATCCAATTATATATTGTCCTCTGACAAAACATATACAAACTTGTTTTAATCATATAAAAATTTTCTTTATTACTAATAATCTTATAATAAATAATATTTATTTTTCTTAATATTTAATACTGACAATTTTTATTAATTTTAGCTAAATATTGATCGCGGTTATAAAAGAAGATCTCCAGAAAATATTATTTCGATGAACCAACCTTTCAATGAGAAAGACTTTAACTTTACAAAACTTGTGTCAAAAGAACAAATAATGAATTTAAATAATACAGACAAAGATGATATAATTGCAATTAATGCTAGTCCGATTGAATACTGTCATTCTCTGCTGTTGCCACAAAGATGTAAACAATTACCTCAACTTGTAACAAAGCATAGCTTATTGAAAGCTATTGAGTTGTTTTCCTTGAGTTTGTCTTCGTAAGTATATTCCACCTTTGAAGCAAAAGTACAGAAATTAAATCTTTAATTAATTTATAAATACATATGTTGATTGTTAAAAAGTGCAATGTCAAAGGAAAGTTAATAAAACATACACAGTACTCTCATAAATTTCATTTTTCTTAATAATATTTATTAAGCATTATTCAGTTAATAAAATAAGATTATTGTAGTAATGCTTTATGAATAAAGAAGTAATTATTTTATGATTCCATTTTATTTTTGAAACTCTAATTGTTATAACATAAAACTTAATCAGTGATGCAATTCCAATTTAATAGGAAAAATAAAAATTTTGAAATTTTGGCATGATTTATTAACATTTTCTGACATTTAAAAATATTTACATTATAACTATTTACAATATCACATTGTTGTTTATAGTTTGTAAGTATTTTCAATTAACCTTATTGTATCATTAAGCCCTTAACCTGCAACGTCGTGTTAGAGACGTGGTACGTCCTACGGGCCAAACATAAGCAACACGTGCACTTTGTACGTGAAACTTTGTACATTCGTTGGGATACATGCGACAAACACTTTTTTTTCTTGTCCGCATTCGGAAGTGCAGTATATTTTCTTGAAAAATATTAGAAAGGTACCCCTAAAAATAAGTTCAAAAAGAATGTTAAGCGTTGTCGAGGACATTGAAAGTTCTGCTAACATCGCAAAAAGTGATTTGATAAATATTTTAAATAGTGATAGTGACAGTAGTGATATTTCACTTTCTGTACGAGAACGTTGTAAGCGACTGGTTATCGAAGATGATATCGACGACGAAGACCACAGTAATCATTAACAACCAGAGCTATGGATTTGGGAAGAAGAAACTAATGAACCAAAAATTATGAAACTATACAGAGATTTCTGGTATAAAAGTAGGAACTTTGAGTTAGTTAGGTGAAAACAAAAAAGAAGTAGATGTTTTTAATGTAATATTTGATAACATATTTTGGGAAAATATTGTTATGGAAATGAATCGATATGCAAATCAAATAATGATCAATGAAAATAAAAGACTAAGACTAGATGAAACTTGGTTTCCTATAAACTGTGGTGAAATCAAAATATATTTTTCACTATGTATAATAATGGGTGAAGTTAAGAAACCAACAATATAAATAAATTGATCTAAGAGAGCAGTTATAGAAACTCCAATTTTCAGGAAAACGATGTCATTCAAAAGATTTCTGCAAATAACTAGATATTTGCATTTTGCAGATAACAATTCGGTTAACAATACAGATAAATTATGTAAAATAAAATAAATAAATTTTAAATAAAATAAATTTTTTGAATCAAAGATTTAAAGAAGTATATACAATGCAAGAGGACATTGCTACCGATGAATCATTGATGAATTATAAGGGACACTTATCCTACAAACAATTTAATCCATTGGAAGGGACAAGATTCGGTATAAAATTTTATAAATTATGTGAGTCAAAATCGGGTTATTGCTATGATTTTAAAATATACATTGATAATGATAAAATAAATTCTAGTGACAGTGCATCCAAAAGTGTTATCAAAGAACTATCACAGTCAATATTACATAAAGGATTGTTTAAATCTTTAATTAACAGTAAAACTAATGTTGTTGGAATAGTGCGCACCAACAGAAATAATATGCCAAAATATTTTTCTAAAGTAAAATTAAAAAAGGGTGAATATAGAATGAGGAACTGCAATGGAATACTGGCATTGAAATGGGAAGATAAACGAGACGTTTATATTTTTTCTTTAAAACACAAAACAGCAGAAATGATTGAACCAGACAAAAGTCGATTCAATTGTACTTTGAAACCAAAATGTGTCATTGAGCATAATAAAGGAATGATTGGAATTGATCGGCAAGACCAAATGTTAGCATGCTTCCCTGTGATGAGGAAATGTATGAAAGGATACCACCAAAAATTTTTCTTTTACCTCTTTGATATTGCTTTGTTCAACTCGTACATTTTATTCAACAAAATAAATACTGGGAATATTATTATGCTGAATATAGAATTGAAATAGGCGAATCATTACTAAAAAATATACTGTTAACAGAGTATAAACGAAGAGGACGATTACCGAAGGGAGATTTACCAAAGAGACTGTACGCGAAATATTTGAGTTATTTTCCAAAGCATATAGATCCAACAATATCGAAATCACGGCCAGCAAGAGCCTGTAAAATTTACACAAAACATAAAAAACGTAGCGAAGCAACGTGGGAGGGCAAAATATGCAAAGTTCCATTACATGTACCAATATGCTTCGAAATATACCACACGATTGAAGGTTATTAAATTTTTGTAAATTTTATCAAGACATTAATTATTTAAAATATGTGTTTATTTAGAAATTGCAATAAAAATTTTATTGAAATAATATTTATTATTCACTTCAAGATAATAATTTCTTTTTATTTATTTATTTATTATTGCTTAGTTTATGCCTTTCGGCTTTGGACGAGCTTTCGGTTTTACATCTCGTTTACATATTACGCTTCTTATATATCTACCTCCCCTCTTATCCACTCTATTATATTGCACTCCCTCAATTATTCTGTCTCTAAAATTATGGCAACTTTTGGGCTTTTGCCTCCTTGCTATGCTTACTTATTGTCGTTCCTCCCTGTCTTGTATTGCCCTTCTCTTTTCTATTATTGTTTTCAGTTCTGTTAGTCCTTCTCTAGTCTCGTTTAGTATTTTTGCTGTGTCCTTTGGTCTTCCCGTTGGTTTGCATTCTTCTATTACATGTCTCAGGTCTTCTTCTTTCCTTTTACATAGCCTGCATCTTTTTTCTCCCTCTTCTTTCCAGTATTCTCTTGCTTTGGTCTCGTTTCCACATCTGAATCTTGCTAATATTTTTCTGTCCTTCCACTTCATCCTCCCTTTTATGTATTTCGATTCGCTTATCCTTTTCCCCCTCTCTTTTGCTTCTCTTTTTCTCCTTTCTTCTATAATTTGATCTACTGTCATCCTTTCTTGCTCTTCTCTTGCTTCCATCTGTGTCCCTCCATTTCTCACCTCTTCTAGCCCTTTCTTTCTCTTTCTTGCTCTCTTCCCTTCTTGGCCATTTCCCCAGTTTCTCTCTCTTTCCTTTATGTACTCCTTTACTCCTTTTTTGACTCTATGGCTTTCCCTTCATACCTTACTGCTCTTCTTAATGCCTTTTCTTTAATTTCTGTTAGCTTGCATTCTTCTAGCAATATATAATTCGGTGTTGTCATATCTAACCTAAGATCCATTTCACATATCTTCTTTGTATTCTATCCAGCCTTTCTTCCATGTTCCAGCCCCTTACCTCTGCTCCAAACAGCGCCACGCTCTCTATCAGTGCTCCAAACATCTTCATTCTCCTCTTGTAGTCCTGTTTGAAAATTCTTTCTCCCACGCTCCATGTTTTCTTCATTGTTATTGTTGTTCTCTTTTTCCTGTTTTGTATGTGTTTCTCATCACTGCCGTTTTTCTGTAGTATGTACCCCAGGTATCTTATCTCGTCCACTTCTTCTAATTCTCGCTCTCCTCATTTCCATTTTTTTGTCTTCTCTTGTTCTTTCTTTTCTCTAAAACTACTATCTTAGTCTTTTCCTTTGCTCAGCTTCAATTCGGTTTCCTTTAAAAATTTTTCGAATCTCTTTAGCATTTCCTTCAGCTCCTCTTCTCTATCCGCCATCAGCACAATATCATTTGCATATGTCAATGCCCATACTTTCCTTTCTCCTACCACAATGCTCCTGATTTGTCCTTTCCTTTATTCTTCTTTCAGCCCCACCACGTAGATGTTGAATAACGTCGGGCTCAACGTGCATCCTTGTCTGACTTCCCTCAGTGTCCAAAATTCTTTTGCGTTGTTACCCTTGATTCTCACCACATTCTGTTTCTGCGTACAACTATTTTATCCTTCGAATTAGTTTTTCGTTAATCCCCATTTTTCTCATTTTCTCCTCCAATTTCTCTCTGTTTAACCAGTCGAACGCCGCTTTTAAGTCCGCAAAGCAGGTATATAGTGTCCCTTTTTCTCTATTCAACTGTTTGTCTATGATATGGTTAATCACAAATACCGCGTCGGTCACTCCTCTTCCTTTTCTAAATCCGAATTGACTCTCTTCTAGTTTGGTTTCAATCTCTGCCTTCAGCCGTTCGTCCAGTATCTGTGCGTAAATCTTGTATGCTGTGTCCATTAATGTTACTCCTCTGTAACTTTTCACTACTCTCTTGTCCCCCTTCTTGTATATCGGACATATTACTCCTTTTTTTCCAATCTTCTGGTATCGCCTCCCCATTCCATATTTTCCTTAACAAATCTCATAACGCTTCCCCTACTTCTTTCGGTGCATACTTCAATACTTCATTTTCTAACCCGTCTTCCCCCATTGCTTTCTTCTCCTTCAAGTTCCTTAGTTGGTAGATCACCTCTTCCTTCTCTATATTATCTTGTCTCTCCTCCATTATTTTCTCTTCTGCTCGATGCTTCTCCGTTTTTCTGCCCTCTTTGTGCTCTGTTCCTTCTAAACTTTCCATGAAGTGATTTTTCCACCCTTCTTCGCTTATTTCTTCATCTATACTCTCTCTTCTTCTTCTATATTTATTTATGTATTCCACGCTTTTTGTTCTGTTTTGATCTTCTTGATTTTCTCCATTTCTTCTTCTTCGTGTCTTTTCTTTCTTTGTTTGCACCACTGTTTGAATGCCTTTTTTCCCTCTATGAGCGCTTCTCTACTGCATTTTCCTTTCATAAACTTTCTCACTCTCCTTCTCATCTCTCTTTTCCTCTCTTTCCACTTCTTGTCGTATCACACTTTCTCTCCCATGCCCCATTTCCTCATCTTCACTTTCTTCTTTGGCATTGCTTCGTTTATCTTCTTTTTGATTTCTGTCCACATTTCGTCTACTGTTCTTCCATTGTAGGTCCAGTCTTTACGTTCCTCCAAATATTTTTCCACACTTCCGTTTGTCCATTCTCTTTTCTCCTTCTCTTCTTCTTTCTTTTCCTCATTTTTTTGTAATTCCGGCCCCCTATTTCTATTTCTAACGGCATGTGGTTCTGTTCTTTCAACGACTCTGTTCTTTTTCCTACTTCATGTCAATTATTTCTTCTGTCGCCTCCTGATTGCCAATCGCATAGTCTATTACTGAGTTTCCTCTCTCCCCAATATAGGTCCACTCCTCTCCTTCTTTATCTCTGCCATTGATTATCGTCCAGCCTCTCTCTTCCAGATACTTTAGCAGTGTTCTTCCTTCCATGTTTACTGTCTTGTCTTTTGTCTCCCTCTTTTCCCGTTCTTGCGTTCCAGTCTCCGCTGATGATCATCACTTCCTCTTCTCTTCCGTCTACTCTTTCCTCTATTTTTTCTATGTCCCTTTTGTATCTTGATTATAAACCATCATTATTCTATATGTCTTGTCATTGTATATTATTTTTCTTTCAACTATATTATCACTTATTTCTTTATATTCTATTTCTCTTAGTTCTTTATTTATACCTGTTATTATCCCCCCCCCTTTGCACTTCCTTTTTTCCTTACTCTCATTGCTGTCCTGCATTTCCAGTCGAATTCTTTGGGCAGTCTATATTTTAATTTTTCCCCATTTGCCTTCCTTTATCCATGTTTCCGTGAGTCCGATCACATCGAATGTCTTCAGATATTCCCACACCTCCCTGTTCTTGCTTATTAGCCCTGATACATTCCAGAAGTACGTTTTCGTCCCCTTTGTAACCCCCCCTTTTCCCCCTTTTTTCATTTTTCTCCCCCTCTCTATCTTTCTTCTTCCAGCTTCTCTTCATTTTCGTTCCATCTGTACCATTTGTTTTCTATTTTTAGTTTCTTGTATCCTATCTTTATATATTCGCCCTTTTTCCTTCTTTCTCTGGCTACCCTTCTTATGTGTAACTGTACCTCCCTTCCTTTTCTCGTCAGATCGTCGTCTATGTATACACCCTTTTCCAATTTGCTTTTCTCCTTCGTTATCCGTATCTTTTCCTCCATCGATTTCATCGTCGCCACTATTATTGTGTTCTTGCCCCCCCCTTTATCATATGTGCTCTTTCTATTTCTTGTATCCTATCTTTATATATTCGCCCTTTTTCCTTCTTTCTCTGGCTACCCTTCTTATGTGTAACTGTACCTCCCTTCCTTTTCTCGTCAGATCGTCGTCTATGTATACACCCTTTTCCAATTTGCTTTTCTCCTTCGTTATCCGTATCTTTTCCTCCATCGATTTCATCGTCGCCACTATTATTGTGTTCTTGCCTCCCCCCTTTATCATATGTGCTCTTTCTACTTCTGCCCTTATCTTCATTTTTTCGTTTATGAACTCCTTTACTGTCTTTTCATTGCTTCCTTCGTTCCAGTCCTTTAATTACTATATTCCTTCTTCTTCTTCTTCTCTCTCTCTCTCTCTCTGCTCTGTCTTTCTCCTCCTCGATTCTTCTAATTCTGCCCAATGGTTCCTTCTTTTCCCTTTCCCACTCTTCTCTCTCACTTCTTTCCTCTTCCTCTTTCATTTCCCTCTTCATCTCCTCCACTTTTTTTCGAATATCCCTTTTATTTCTTTTATCATTGCCTTAAATCCTCTTTCCATTTTCTCTGCTTTTTCCATCATGACTTCCATTCCTTTCTCTCTGGCTGGTGTCTCTTTTTCTGTCGAGCTGTATTTGTCCAGTGTATTTTTGAAGACTGCCATATTTCCCATTTTCCTTGGTCTTCCCTTTTTTATCGCCATCTGCCGTTTCCCTACCTTACTTTGTTTTGCCGCGCTTCTGACCTCCTAACCTCTTCTTTTCTAGTTTTTTTTATTTGTAACTCTCTCTGATTCTTGTCTTTTTTTCGCTTTTCTTTTGCTTTCTCCTCGTATGCTCACTCTTTATTTTCCCTTCTTCATGCCAGTTTGTGCGTCCTTTTCCTTTTTCCTTTCACACTTCACTTTTTCCGCAGAGGTCTCCGTCCGCGTGTTACCCTCGCTCCGAATCGAACCGAAAGTCCCATAAA